TTTCATGGACCATGCATTTTACAGATGAGGAAACTGAGGCCCAGAGTCTGGGTTATTCAACAGCAATGAATCCTTTCATCCTGGTTGTATGTCTCTGTCTGACTGTCTATTCACTTCTGTCCCTCCTTCCTTCCCTCCCTCCTACCTTCGTCAGCCAGCATACCCTAATCTGCTGGGCCATCTGGGTTTGGATGCCCCCTTCCCTTTCACAGACCTATGTGACCTGGGGCTTCTGCACTTGCTGGGTAGGGGGAAGATAACAGCACCTCCCCGGGGCTGCCTTGCACGTGGCAAATTGCTTAGGATGTGTCAGCTCTTCTGGTGATGGCTAATATCCTGCTGGGGTGGTCCTCATTCACCCCGCCCCTGTGGGTGCCAGGGCACAGCCCTCCTTCAGCCTCCTGCAGGGCCATGCTGGCTCCTCCTTCCGGAAGCCATTCCACTTGCAGGCTGGGAAGACACACCTGCAAGAGGGACTGTATGCTAGTACTGCTTACTAAATATTATTGGATAAGGAAGCTGGCTTTGGATCTTCATGCACTGGACCAAGCTGGGTCATGGACGCCACAAAAACTCATCCAATTTGTTAGGAGAAACGGGGTCTCAGGCCCTCACAAGAACTCGTGGTTGTGAAGTTGGGGTTAGCTGTGCTGGTTACTGCTAAACTGATTTAGGGGAGGGGAAAGGGTCTATGACTTCACTGAGTTTCTTACACAGCCAGTGGGAACAGATCGTTTCAGCTGGAGGCCGCTGTAGGTTCTGTGCTATCAGTGACTGTAAACCAGGCTTCTAAGCTTTTTAATTGTGGGTTTTGGTTTTCAATTTTGTTTTCCTGACTGAAGAATGCTCCCTGGACTGATCCCAAAAGCCCTCAGGACTACAGCGGGCACTGAAAGCAAAAGTGGCCCTGTCAGGAAGGAATGTCACCTCCCTGAGGCTGTGTTAGCATCTCATCTGCTGCATTCCTGTCCCCTTGGCCCTGTGTAAGGGAAGAAACCAAGCCCAGGCCACGGGGAGGGGCACAGGTCTGGGCTTTGGGGACCAGCCTAGCAGCAAGGTTGCATGAAGGTAGCCCCTCCCCCACAAGCCCTATCTGTGAGGCGTGGGGAAGGACTCCCACCGGGGCCGCTGTTCCCCAGGAGCTGAGCCTAGTGTGGGTGGGCGAGAGCTTTGTGTGCTGCCTCTGAGAGCTGTGCGATGACAATACCGTACATGTGTGCAGGGCCTGGTACTTTTCCAAGGGCTTTTAAATGCATTATCTTGTTGGAGGCTCATTTGAGGCAAGGACTCGAAGCAGACGGGAAAACAACTAATTTACTGAATCCTGAATGGAGAGGAAGCTGAATGCAGTGTGTGTTTTTGCTGAACCTCAAACCAAAACAACCTTTTGTTAAAGAACAAACAAATAAACAAAAATGCTGAACACTAATTCACCAGGGAACATCGTCTGCACCGAGGCTCTGGGCAGAGAATCAGGGCAGAGAATTCAACAGCCATTTAGTGGGTGATGGGGGCCTGCTGAGATGGCAGGCGAGTTCATGAACAAGAGCTTTTGGGGGCTGGCAGCAGAGCCAGGCATGAGAAGCTGGTGGGAGGGGGTGTTTCAGGTCCGGGACCTGAGCCCTGAGCGAGGCGGGAGCGTGGAGCCTGTCGGGGCCTCGGGTCCTGCTGTGCCTAAGTGGAGGCCCCATGTTGGGAACAGCCTGGGGTAGCTTCAGAGGTTTCCTGGGGGGTCTCCAGCCCCTGATTGGAGTTGCACTTAGAGTAATTAATCTGCAGTAGGCAGTGGGGTGGGATTTTCTAAGATGATTGAATGTCCGAGCATTCCCCAATAGAAATAATTTCATTCCATTTGAGTTGCTTCTTTTAAGTGCTTCTCTCTTCCATTTTTGGTGGCTCAGAAGGGGAAGCCACAGATGGGTGTCTGTGTGGCGCAGGTAGGACCCAATGGGAGGGGCGATGGGAGACCCTCCACCTCACATGGGTCCTAGTGAAACTCATGCACCACAAGCCACAGACCAGTGCACACACATGCACGCACGCACTGCCACGGTGATGCAAGATCACAGGGCTGTGCACATGCCTGGAGTTCCTCCCTCCTGCTGGAGCTGGCCTTCTGGGAACCCAGCTCACAGCAGTCTGCTCCCGATAGCAGCAGGGGCCAGAGGGTGGGTGGTGAGAAATCCTCCTCCTCACCACCAGCCAGGGGCCAAGTCCACAGAGACCAGCACCCAGTCCCTTCTGAATGGGCCTCAGTGGCCTCCCTTGCACTCCTGAGAGTCAGGTGACCATCGATCCCTTCCTTCAACACCCATCACAGCCTGCCAGAGGCCGCTCCCTGATGTGCTCACCCTGCGTGGCCCTGGGTCTTCTGAGGTCATATCAAATGTCTCTGGGGCCTGATGCCACCACTCCCCTGGTTTCCCCACCTTTGCTGACATAGACCTGACTTCTGGGGAGAGGCTTTTCCCTCAGTTCTGGGGACCTGCATTGGGGTCCCCTCCCGGGCTGGGGACTGCACAACGCCAGGGTCTGTCTGCAGCAGCTGAGGCCGCCTGATGCCTTGAGGACCACCCGGTGCCTGAGTGGTAGGTGGCGCAGGACTGGTGGTCTGGCTGTGACCAGAACCGGGGCTGTGGCCACGACCCAGAACTGGTCATCTACAGTGACATAGCGCTCAGAGCCCAGGCTTCCTGGTGGATGCTGGTAAACCTCTTGTCAGCCTGGAAGTGCAGGCTTCATCTGGGCTTTCCAGAGCCCTCTGGCCCTGCTCTCCTATTCTCACAGTGGCCTCGAGGGTGTGTGTGCACCCCTCTGTGCCCGCAGCCCCAGGAGTGCATGAGCCAATAGTGGTGGCCAGATGTCAGGCTCCATCTCTAACATGGAGGGAGGAGGGGCCTCCCTGTCCTCTTGCCTGCGCTGCTCATCACCCCTAGCTTCTGCCGCCCTTTTCCCTAAGAGACATTTCCATCCTTTCTTGTTCCTGTCTTTGGGGTAACAGCACCCCGCAGATGGGCCCTGGGATTCCAGGGAGGGGATGTGGGTGGGGCCGTAGCTCTCCTGCTTTCCCCAGCATCACTGGGCTCCGCCGCCATGGTGATGCTCTTGGTCAAGTTCATCTGGGAGCACTTCCTTGGGGCTTTGCGCTCGCCTGCCTGCTGGGGCTCTGCACCAAGCTTCCTGCACCGCTCCCCGGAAACCACGATCAAGTGGGCCCAGTTCGCCCACCTGCCCCCCACTACCACGGGCCTCCCCATGACCCTGTTGCCAGGGCTCTGGTGGGGCCTGGGGAAGCAGCCGTTGCCTCCTAAAGCCCTTTGGCCCTGGGAAAAGCCTTGCCTCTGGCTCACCCCTGTGGGTTCTTTGACGCCGGCAGGCAGGCCAGGCCAGCCAGCAGCTGGTGCCCAGCTGGGACCCTGGTCCTGAGGCCGCCTTTGTGCCTGCACAAGGGAGACTCAGTTCCTCCCCTGCTCCCTGACCCTGCATCCTGTGTCCACACGGGCCCAGCCCTGGCGGGGGAAGCAGACGGTGCCAGCTGCCCTGGAGAAGGAGCCAGACCACCTCGTGACCTCTGCCTCCTCTGAGCGTCTCAGGGGAGGCCGGTGAGCAAGGCCTACTGCAGCGCCGTTAAACAAGCTAATGACCCATGAAGGCTCCCAGCTGGTGGCGGCTGCCCCTGCTCAGGAGCTTCGGCTCCCCGGCGGCTGCCCACAATTGCTGTCACCGTGTTGGGCTGCAGCTTCCTCAGACAGGGGCAGGGCGTTGGAGTCAGTTCTTGGCTTTTCAGGCCCAGCCAGGGCTGTGTATACAGCAGGCAGTTAATAAATATTTGCTTAGAATCAGGCCCAGAAAGAGTCACCTCGATTTCCAGGGCTGTAGGGGCACTTGGAGTCTGGGGACCCTTGAGGGGAGGTGGCCAGGGGCTCAGGACACAGCCTGGGACCAGGAGTCCCACAGATCCGCAGCCAGGTCCTCGCCCTTGGCCCTAGCTGAAGAGAGATGGGCACTGTCCCCTCCCCTGTGGGGCCTCAGACCCAATCCCTTCCTGGGGGCCCAGGCAGTCCTGCTGCGACTGAGGGCAAGATGCATGGCAGGGCCAAGGTCCCAGCCTGCGCTGTCACCCAAGCTGGTGGGAAGCTGGCTCCCAGGTGCCACGGACCTGCCTCACCTGCTTTTGCTGGAGCCCAGGTTCAGGGGTTCCCTGAGTCCTGGTGGGGCTCCTGGGATATCCGAATTGGCTTCGGGGCCCTGCTCTTTATCACCTAGCATGGTGCCCAGGGGCGTGGAAGCACAGTTGACCTTGCACTGCACAGGCTCTGGGACCCTCAAGAGACAGAACAGCTGCCCTACAGGCTGCTGGGCTGTGGGGAGCTCTGGAGCCCACAGCGCTTCTGCCTGGAGTCTGTGCTGTGTGCACCCAGAAAATCAAAACCGTCAGGAGGGCCAGGCCTAGACCCAGGCCGCTCGCCCCCTCCCCAGGTCCTGGGCTCTTGTCATCAACACCAGGTTGACTGGCTGGGCCCAAAGCCAGAGGCGGTCTGGGAGAAGCAGGAGGTAGCCCTGACCTGCAGTCCCCAGGCGGGCTCCAGGACCCGTTTCTAAAATGGAGGGGAGGAAGAATGGCCAGGTAAGGGGTGGTGTGACTGTTTAACTGAACCTCAGGTGAATTCTGAGAGGCCAGAGTGTGATTTCTCTTGCCCTATAAAATCGGGTCCCCTGCAGCAAGTCAGCTCCATCTTTCCCGGGGCTGGGCTGGCTGGAGTAAGCTCCTGGTTCTCAGCCACGCGGGCACACTGCACAGTACGTGGGGCTGCGACAGGGCACCAGGCAGGCAGGAGCCTCACCCCAGGGGCAGCAGTTTACAGAAGCTGCCTCAGGCCTGTAAGTAACAGAAAGAAGCCCCAGTGCTTCCCGGTCTCCTCCCTGTGGCCCACACCAAGCCCTAAGCTGTCTCCTAAAACTCCAACTGTTTCTACCACTACCACGGTGACGCCCAGAAAGACAAACCAAAACCCATCGGAAGGGCAATCTTTCAATTGCTTAAAATTAATCAGTGCAAAGTGAGGTAAAAGATCCCTGTGTGTCAGGGCCGAGGCAGAAGCCTCACACTAGCCTGCGTCTCTTGGAGTCCCTCCCCATGTCCTCCTCCTCGACGTCCACCTCGCAGCCCAGCGGGGACACCAGGTTTAGCAGAGGGTCCTCAGAGGCACGGCCGAAGAGCGCCAGCAGGAGGGCCACGCCGAAGCCCGTGGCTCGCTCACCCTGCAGGCAAAGGGTAGGACAGAGACTCTGGGCGTGGGGCTGCAACATGGGAGGGGCCTCCTGGGACCCCTGAACGTGCCCCACGGTCCCCTTCTCAGGAAGGAGATCCTGAGCACCAGCTGGAGCCAAGGGCCTTCCATGCTACTGGCCGGACAGCAGGCCAGGCACAGGTGGTGGGCAAGGCCTTGTGTGCTCTGCCCTAACCCGGGGAGCTCCTCAGGGTGGGGATGGGTGAGACAGAGGACCCGCAGCCCCCTGTAGAGGACAGGATGGCTAGGGAAGGGTAACACACAGCAGCCTCTCTGTTCCCAGGGAGGATGAGACCTGAGGGGGACAGTGGGCTGGAGGCTAGGTCACAGACACTCAAGAGCCAGAGGGTGGGAGCAGCCCAGGCTGGTGAGGAGGGGACACTCACGGCGTGCACCGGCGCAGCAATGTCCAGGTGGACCCAGACTCCGGGCCAGTCGAAGCCAATGTGTGAGGCAATGAAGAGGCCGGCACAGGAGCTGGGGCTGTTGTCTCGGTCCTAGGGAGGCCGGGAGGACACGGGGCCCGTGGGCTGCTCTGGCCAGGCACTCTCCACCCTGCCCCATCCCCTCTCACTGTTGCTGTCTGCAAGGAGCCTGGGATGGCTGGGAGGGAGCCAGTGTGGGGAAGCGTCTGAAGCTGGGCTGGGAGGGACTTGACCATGAGGCGAGGAGTCTGCCCCACCATAGGCCAACGGGGGAGCTGGCAAAGGGACTGATGGGGCAACTGAGTCAGACCCAAGACTGGGGAAGAAACCCCCAGCTGTGTGGCAAGGAGGCCAATGAGTGGCCCATGCCGCCTGGGACAGCTCCCGTGCCCTGACACCTGCCTCTCCGGCCCTTGTCTGCACTGCGGCTGCTTGTGGGGGGCCCCAGCTCCCTGGGTGCATGCCCCACCCCGTGCAGGCCCCCCCCCCCACCAAGAGCAGGACTCTGCCTACCCAGCTCCACCCACGGGGCAGGCTCCAGGCTCCAGGCTCCAGGCTCCAAACCTACCGCTACCGAGTTCTTCATGTCAGCCACGGCTGAGGTGAACTCGCTGAAGTGCAGCTCGGGGCAGTAGACCAGCGGGTGCACCAGGTCCCCGCACTTCCTGCCGGCCTTCACGCAGGCTGCCTCCCACTCAGCACTGTTGGTGAGCACCGCGGCGTGGTACTTCCCTGTAGCAATGCCCTGGGCAAGCGGGAACCCGAGGAGTGTGCGGACGGGACGCAGGAGAGAAACACCCATGACAAAAGAAGAACCAAGAGGCAGACAGAGAAATAAGGGAGCCAGAAGAAAGAAGGTTGAGTTAAAAAGAAAAAACACAGGAGAGAGGACCATGGCCAAAGAAGGTGGTCCCGGCTCCGCGTCCAGCCTGGGCCTCGGCGCTGCCCACACCAAGCACAGCAGACGGCTCCTCCTGCCTCCTTGTGCCCAGTTAGGAAAAATCCTGAAGGCAGCCCCCACCCGCTGCTTTCCCCACCTCAAGGTCAAGGGGTGGGTGGGGTTCCCTGGGGCCACAGCTAAGGGGCGGATCCAGGCAACGCTCACCTGAGCCCCGGTCAGGGTAGCCATGTCCACGATGATGTCAGCCCCTAGGTCCTTGCAAGCATAGGACACACCGTCTGCCAGCACCAGCCTGCCCTCGGCATCCGTGTTGTTGATTTCCACTGTCCTGGGGTATGGTAAAGATCCCTGCTTAGGGACAGGATTCCCTGGGGCACTGGCGTGAGTCCCTTTGGAACTAAGAAGACCCTATTTGGAGCTGCCCATCCCTGTGGCTCTCCGAACCCTAACACATTCCCCCCACTGGGGAGGCTGGGATGCCCCCAGCCCCTACAGCAATGCAGTGCCTGGGTCAGAAGCAAAGGGCTTCCAGGTCACATCACTGCCCCACTGCTCTTGATTAGAGTGCCAGGGGCCAGCCATTTGGCTCCCCTGTGCCTCAGTTTCTTCATCTGTAAAGTGGGTGGCATGACCAGCTGGGTTGGCCTTCAGTACATTATGCCTGGCACCTGGCAGATGAGGAGGAAGAGCAGGTGATGAGGGGAGGCACCCACTCAGGCACCAGCACGTGGGGTTGGCAGAGAGGGCTCTTTTCCTCTGAATCCTGGGCCCTGAGCAGGGAGTATGGGGGTCAGGGCTTCACATGCCCAAAGAATTCAGGCCTAAATGTTGGAAAGGCCTGTCTGGTAATACAAGGTAGACCATAAGCTCCTGGGCCAGGCACTGCAAGGGAGCCTCGAACCTCATCCCGGTGCCATGACCCCTCCACATGTGGTGCCCCTGCTACCAAAGCTCCCAGCACTCAGGGAAGCAAGGAGCCTGCTGTCCAGGGGACCCCAATGCTGGGTCCCCTCCTGATATGCCTGGAGTGAGCTGGCATTGCAGGCCGGGGAGGGGTCGTGAGTTTCAACAGTGAACAGGGAGGAGCAAGAGGGCCAGACATACTTCCCTGAGTAGAGCAGGTGGATGTCATCTGGCCTCGTCGCGTTGGGCCCCACTGAGTTCTCAGCCAAGCAGAACACAGCATGGAGGTTGTCTTTGAAACCCTGGTGGGAGAAATGGGCAGGGGCTCCAGTTGTAGGTCATAGGACAAGCTGGGGGCTCTCAGACCCACAGACAGCAGAAGACAGATGGCTCCAAGGTGCAGGGAGCAGAGTTCACCCTCCCTGCCATCCTGGGCACATATGGGCAGATCCCAAGGCCAAGGCTCACTGCTGGGGTTTCCCAGCCTCCCCTGCCAGAGCCCACTCACCGCAGTGGATGAGCCTGGGCACAGGCTGGGCTGTGGGACTCTTGGGCTGCATGGGCTGGGCAGTCATGAAGCCTCGCCAGCCTGTGCTGACGGAAGGTGGCCAGCAGCCGCGTTCCCTCAATACACGCGCACACGTGCACTAAGGAAGAGCTCAGCCTTGTGGAAGTTTAGGTGTGAAGTTATAGTTTTCTGATGCCAAAATGGAAGCCATTTGTTCCCTGAGAAACGTGCGACCAACAGGTGGTGGCGGTTCCTGCCCTGCAGAGGCTCTAACGGCCCCCTGACCCCCAAGTGGGCCGTGCCCGGGCAGCAATGTCAAACGGAGTAGAGATCCCAGACCCCTGTCACTGCCCTTCCTCTGCTCCTGGACAGGAATCTTTAACCAGGATACATCCTCCTAGCATGGAGCATGCCTTGAGGGCACACAGCTCTATAGGATCCAGCATCTCTCTCATCTCCTGCAACAGCCAACTCTTCCACCACCGGCACAGAGCCCTCACCAAAGGCAAACGCTTGGAACGGTGGGGCAGAGGCAGCCACCAGGGCAAGGAATGGTCATTGACAGAAGCTGCAGCAGTGGTGCTGAGCGGGGGGCCGCTTTGAGTCCCTGAGACCTCCCTGCCCCGCTCAGTGGGGCAGGAGCTCTTTTTTGTGCCAGGCTTGGAGGGTCGATAACACCCCCAGAGCCCAGTGCCACCTAGCTCCCGGCATTTAAAACATTTTAAACATTAAAAAGTGTAAACATTTCATTGTGAAATAATTTCAAACTTACCAAAAAATTTGCAGAAATAGTCACAATAGGGCACAGTAGCTCACGCCCGCAATCCCAGCACTTTGGGAGGCTAAGTTGGGGGTGGATCACTTGCGGTCAGGAGTTCAAGACCAGCCTGGCCAACATGGTGAAACCTTGTCTCTACTAAAAATACAAAAATTAGCCAGGTGTGGTGGTGCATGCCTGTAATCTCAGCTACTCTGGAGGCTGAGGCAGGGGAATTGCTTGAACCTGGGAGGCGGAGGTTGCGGTGAGCCAAGATCACACCACTGCACTCCAGCCTGGGCAACAGAGCAAGACTCTGTCTCAAAAAAAGAAAAAAAAAAAAAAAAAAAGAAATAGCCCCAAACAATTCTTCAACACCCTTCACCCAGATTCTGCCAATGTTAACATCTTGCACAGCCATGGGACAACGGGCAGCAGGGGCTAGCAACCACCAACACGTGACCATCATCTGTCGGGTCCACCCAGATTTCAGACATCCGGACCGGATCAGGCTGCACACCAAGCCTTCCTGCCCTGCCTGCTTGCTCTCCTTAATCTGGGTAACTGCACAGTCTGGCTTCGTCTGTTGTGACCTTGGCACTTTCAATGCTGAGTTTGTCTGATGTTTCCTCATGACTACCAGCAGGCCATGCATTTTTGGCAGGAATCCTACAGAAATGCTGTGTCCGTCCCTGTGTACTGCCTCTGGAGACACATCAAGTGGCTCTGTCCCTATCCTGGTGACATGCCCTGGGACACCTGGTTGAGCTGGGTCACTTGGAGACCATCTTGCTGTCCTGTTCCCATCCCACTCTCATGCTCCAGTTCCAGTGCTATGGGTCACTCTCACCTGAAACGGGACCTGGCTGTGGGGTGCCAGGTGAGGACTTCCTGTTTCCATCACTACCTCTGCAGCCCGAAACTGGGATTCACTGTGAGAAACAGTTCTCCCCCACTCATTTATTCATTCAGTGATCTAGTCCTACCAGTGTGGACATGTGGATTATGGTTTTATTCTCTGGGTAAATTCATTACCATCAGGATTTATTCTCTGGCTCAGAAAGAGGCATATTCCTTTCTAAGAGGCCAAAAGGATATGTCAAGGCCAAGCAGGACATTAGAGCTCACATTCAGGCTGGAGCTCTTCTTGTGGCAGGGGGGATCTTTGTCTAGAGTGGGCGTGGGGTATCCTCAGCACCCCTCAAATCACAGGCCGCAGCACCCCTGGAGGTGGAGGAGTGCTGAGAACACTCATGACTGCTGCCTGATGAATCTGCGATAATTGCCAAGTGGCTTCCTGTGAACAGGGAATTAAAGCCCAGAAGAGTCTACCTGCTGGGGCAGTTCCCAGGCAGCCTGTCCCAGAGGCAAGACAGGCCCTCTGCAGGGTGAACGGCAAAGATGGCCACAGAGGGCTAGCCACACGGCTCCCCTAGAACCCTTTGCCCACCCGTGCCCCCGTGCCACCCCAGAGCAGCAGCTGCTCCTTCAGAGAGAGCTGCCTGATGAGCATCACACAGCTCGGTCCGTCCGCCTCAGCATCCTTCCAGGGAGCCCATCTGCCAGGGCCCTGGGGCCTGGGTGGAGGCAGGGAGGAGGACCAAGTATCGGGAGCCTGGGGCCACCCTGCCCCATGGCCTGTGATGCTGGGCCAGTCAAGAGCCTCCTCGAGTGCTGACTGTGTCCCTTGGTAGTTTCTAACCAGTGAAGGACGAGAGCACAGAGGACACGTGCTCCTCCTCCAGCCTCTTCTGACAGGCGGCAGGTGCTCATGGAGGCGTGGGGCTTGCAGGCTGCGTACAGCCGCAGCTGTGTGCTCAGGATGAGAGAAACACTCAGCCGTGAGCCCTAAGAGGCAGGTTCCAAACCTGTGCAGAGCACAGGTGAAGGCCTGCCAGCCCCTCCTACCCAGACCACCTCACCTTGGTGCCCCGGTGTCCCCACCGGCTGGCCCTGTTAGCAGAAGCCCACCACGCAGTCTGGAATGTGCACAGCAAGCTAGAAGCCCTGGCAGAACGAGCTCCTCCCGCCCGGCATTCTTGCTCCTCCCTCATGGCCAGGAGCAGGCTGAATGCCTGACCCTCCAAATCAGAAACTACTTGCCAGGGCCTTTTTGTTTTCCAATTTCAAGTTTACCCCAAGGAACTGGGTTGCCTGCCTGAGAAAGCTAGGCTAGGGAGGTAAACCTGGGCTGATGAGAGTCAGTGCACACTCTTCATTGGCCTGTTTCTTTAGACAGAGTCTTGTGCAGGCTGGAGTGCAGCAGCAGGATCTTAGCTCACTGCAGCCTCAACCTCCCAGGCTCAGTCGATCCTCGCCCACCTCAGCTTCCCAAGTAGCTAAGACTACAGGTACCACGCCTGGCTAGTTTTTAATTTTTTTTTTTTTTTTTTTT